CTGGCCGTCGGAAGGCTGGAAAATAGCAAAAGCCAAAATGACTTCAGAACCTAAGGAAAACCAATGATTTGGGCATCTTCGGGCTCTCGTGGAGGCCTCTTGGGCCGTCTTGGAGGCCGCTTGGAGGTCTCTGGGGCCGTCTTGGGCCGTCCAAGAGGTTTCTTGTGCGAACTTGGAAGCGTCTTGGACGCTCTTGGGCCGTCTTGGAGGCCATGTTGGACCATCTTTGGCGAAATTGGAGGCCATCTTGGGCCATCTTGGCCATCTTGGACGCCATCTTAGAGCCAACTGGAGCAGGAAAAACCTTTGCAACCAGATTTGGGGCAGTCTTTGGGGCCCTTCGGGACCCCGGCGGGACGGGGCGAAGCCCCAGGGAGTTTTCTATCAGAACCAAAATCGAAAAGGTTTAGCACGCCGGGCACCCATGTGGCAAGCCAACAGGGGGGGGCGGATCTAAGACGCCTACGGCGAATCACCGCCGCCCCCTGCCTTTTTGGAAGCGCCTACGTGGCCGAACGTTGAGGCCAGACCTGCCAAGCTATCGGACCATGCGTTCCCCGAATCGGTTTGGAAAGCCTTCGGGGCACACGTGGGCATCTTGAAGGTCATCTTGGCCACCTGGAGGCCATTTTGACCCTTTCGGGCCTTCTTGGAGGACGTCTTGGAGGGCTCTTGGGTCGTCTTGGAAACCATCTTGGGCGTTTTGGAGATCTCTTGGGCCGTCTTGGGGGCCTCTTGGGGCCGTGTCTTGAGCGATCTTTGGGGGCACTTGGGCCGTCTTGGGCCGTCGGAAGGCAGAAAAAAAGCAAATGCCACAATCCTTCAAAAACCTCATGGGAAATCAATGATTTTGGCCTTTTCGGGCCTTCCTGGAGACCCTCTTGGAGGCCTCTTGGGCCGTCTTGGGCCATCTTAGGGCCATGTTCGGCCGTCTTGGTGGGCTCCTGGTCCGTCTGACGCCGTCGGAAGCCATTTGGGGGGCTTCTATGGGCCGACTTGGGGCCCTCTTGGAATGCTCCAGGGCCGTCTTGGAGGCCATCTTGGGCGTATTAAAGGCCTCCTGTGCCGTCTTGGGGGCCTCTTGGGGCCGTCTTGGGGCCCTCTTGGGCCGTTCTGGGGCTTGGAGGCCTCTTGGGCGATCTTTCGGCGATCTTTGGGGGCTCTTGGGCCGTCTCGGGCCGTCGGAAGGCCGAAAACGAAGCAAATGTCAAAATCCGTCAACAACCGTAGGAAATCTATGTTTTTGGCCTCTTCTGGCCTTCCTGGAGGCCCTCTTGGGCCGTCTTGGGCCAGCTTCGAGCCAACTTCGGCAATCTTGGTGGGTTCCTGGCACGTCTGACGCCGTCGGGAGCCGTCTTGGGGGCCTTTCTGGGCCGACTTGGGGCCCTCTTGGGGCGCTTCGGGGCAGTCGTGGAAGCCATCTTGGGTGCCTTGGAGGCCATCTTGGGCGTCTTGGAGGCCTCTTGGGGCTGTCTTGGAGGCGTCTGGGGCCGTCATGGGGCCCTCTTGGGGGCCTCTTGGGCGATCTTGGGGCGATCTTGGGAGCCTCTCGTGCCGTCGTGGGCCGTCGGAAAGCCGAAAGGGCGCAAATGCCAAAATACTTCAAACACCTACGGAAAATCAAGGATGTTGGCCTCGTCGGGCCTTCCTGGAGGACCTCTTGGAGGCCTCTTGGGCCGTCATGGAGGCCTCTTGCGGGCCTTTTGGGCCGTCTTAGAACATCTTGAGGCCATCTTGGGCCGTCTTGGGTGCATCTTGGAGCCATCTCAGCAGTCTTTGAGGCCATTGTGGTTGTATTGGAGGCATCTTGGAGGCCATCCTGGGCCATCCTGGCCGTCTTGGAGGCCATCTTGGGCCAACTTGGGGCAACAAAGGCATTGACGGGTGGATGTTCGGGAATCTCCCGGGGCCCCGGCGGGACGGGCCGAAGCCCCAGGGGGAGTTTTTGGGAAAAGAACCAAAACCAAAACCGAGAGGATTCAGCACGCCAGGCACCCTTGCGATGAATCGACAGGGGGCGGTGGATCGAAGACGCCTACGGCGAATCACCGCCGCCCCCTGCCTTTGTGGAAGCGCCTATGTGGCCGAACGTTGAGGCCAGACCTGCCAAGCTATCGGACCATGTGTTCCCCGATTCAGTTTGAAAAGCCTTCAGGGAACACGTGGGCATCTTGAAGGTCATCTTGGCCGCCTGGAGCCTGGAGGCCATTTTGACACTTTCGGGCCTTCTTGGAGGACGTCTTGGAGGGCTCGTGGGCCGTCTTGGAGGCCATCTTGAGCGTCTTGGAGGCCTCTTGGGCCGTCTTGATTGCCTCTTGGGGCCGTCTTGGGCGCCTCTTGGGCCGTTCTGGGGCCATCTTGGAGGCCTCTTGGGCGATCCTTGGGCGATCTTTGGGAGCTCTTGGGCCGTATCGGGCCGTCGGAAGGCCGAAACGAAGCAAATGTCAAAATCTGTCACAAACCTTCGGAAAATCAATATTTTTAGCCTTCTCTGGCCTTCCAGGAGGCCCTCTTGGAGGCCTCTTGGGCCGCCTTGGGCAAGCTGCGAGCCACCTTCGGCCATCTTGGTGGGCTCCTGCCCCGTCTGACGCCGTCGGAAGCCGTTTCGGGTGCCTTTCTGGGCCGACTTGGGGCCCTCTTGGGGTGCTCCAGGGCCGCCTTAGAGGCCATCTTGGGCGTCTTCGAGGCCTCTTGGGCCGTCTTGGCGCCCTCTTGGGGCCGTCTTGGGGGCCACTTGGGCCGTCATGGGGCCATCTTGGAGGCCTCTTGGGCGATCTTGGGGCGACCTTGGGGGCCTCTGGGGCCGTCAGGGGCCGTCGGAAAGCCGAAAAGGCGCAAATGCCAAAATTTTTCAAAAACCAAAAGAAAATCAATGATTTTGGCCTCGTCGGGCCTTCCTGGAAGACCTCTTGGAGGCCTCTTGGGCCGTCTTGGAGGCCTCTTGCGGGCCTTCTGGGCCGTCTTAGACCATATTGAGGCCATATTGGGCCGTCTTGGATGCATCTTGGGGCCCTCTTAGCCGTCTTGGAGGCCATCTTGGCTGTCTTGGAGGCATCTTGCAGGCCATGTTGGGCCATCTCCGCGATTTGTTGAGGATGCCCCGAGCGAAACGGACGGTTCAGGCATTGACTTCCGCAGTTTCCGGGTGGCCGGCGGGACGGGCCGAAGCCCCAGGGTGAGTTCTTTTGGAAAAAGAACCAAAACCAAAACCATATAGTTTGGCACGCCAGGCACCCCTTTGCTAAAGCAAAAGGGGGCGGCGGATCGAATGGCCTTCGGCCCATCCCGCCACCGTGCCAGGGTCGGGTGTCAGAGCTCTCAGGGATGCGTCTTGGAATCTTTTCCGAGCGCGTTCAGGGGCCTCTTGGGTGCAGCTTGGGGGGATCTTGAAGCCTCTTGGGGGCCTCGTGCGGCCTCTTGGGGGCCTCTTGCGGCCTCTTGGGGCCTCGTGGGAGGCCCTTCGGGGCCGATGGCTCAAAATGTCCGCTCGCGTCCCCATCTGGGCCCCTCTTGGAGCTGTCTTTGGAACTTCTTTGGCGCCTCTTGGGCCGTCTTAGGGCCCTCCTGGGCAGTTTTGGGGCCCGTTTGAGGGCCTATTGGGCCGTCTTGGAGCGATCTTGGGGACTTCTAGTAGCCGTCTAGGAGCGTCGGGAAGCCGAGCGAGAACGCCAAAAGCTTTCAGGCACCAAAGGAAAATCAATGGTGTTGGCCTCTGCGGGTCCTCTTGGGGGGCCTCTTGGACGTCTTGGAGGCATCTTGGGCCGTCTGGGGGCCATCTTGAGCGTCTTGGAGCGATCGTTCTGCAATTCGGGGCCCTCTTGGACTGTCTTCGGGGCCTCTTGGAGCCCTCTTGGCCCGTCTTCGGGCCCCCTTTGGGTCAAAACAAATCCAAAAAGTCGGGACGCGACAAGCCGCCGAGAGCCCCCGGAGGTTTGGTAATTTGGGCCCCGAGACCCTTAAAGATTCCTCAGGAGTGGGGACTGAGGCTTAGAGGATGATGCAGAGGACCTGAGGACACGCCCACTCCGTGCCCAGCGGCACAGTAGCGGATCTGGTTGTCCCCCCTCATTTAGGCCTTCCAAGTGTAGTATGAAAGAGCAGCGGCACCAGCACCATGGGTTGCCAATTCCAGAGAGAAGGTCGATGCTAACTCTCCGAACTGGGGATATGGGGTGTCTCGTATGGGGAGGGAAAACACACACTACCAGGAGGATCCCCCCTGTGAGCTGGTGATGGTGTCGCCCCTCCCTGTTCCCACAAGTGGGGCCAGAGCAGACGGGGTCGCAGGATCGCGCCGCATCGCCGGTGCATCGGCGATGCGGCGCGGTCTGGAGCCCGATGTTCTCCACCCAGACGTCGCCGAGGAGTCGGCGATGCGGTGCGACCTTGCGACCCCTCTGTCTCGGAGCCCCTTTGGTTGAAGAGATTGGAATATACATTTTCTGCGATTCGCGTGGGTTTCTTGGATCATCGTTGGACCCCTTGGCAGCGCCTCTGGCGCCGCCCTTGGCGCGCCAGAGGCGCGGGGCGTCAGCTCCAAGCCAAGAAGCCCACGCGTACCCCCGAAAGCACATGTTTCTGCACATGTGGGTTTTATGGCCACCAGTCACACATGCAGACCAGTCACGACTTGGGGTTCGGCTTGGCTGTCCAAAGAAAAACTAACCACCCCCGTGCCGATGCTCCGACCGTCAGCCCGAAAGCTTTCACCACTTCGTCCCGCCCCCCAGCCAGCCACGACTGGGGGAGACCCCTCTCGGGGACGCATCGACTTTGGCACCCCTCTCCGAGAGGTCGCCGGTACGATGAGATTCACCCACGCGGGGGTCAGGCACGCAGCGCCGTCAGGTTTCCCCGCGGGCGCCGGCCCCTCGCTTCGCGCTCCACGCGCCAAGGAGGGGTGCTTGGCGGTCTGGGGGTGGGGTCCAGCGCCAGCGGAGGACGCTGGCTGCGGGCGTCTGGCAGCGCATGTTTGCGCTGTCTCCTGCTGTCCCCCGGAGGTCTCGGAGGACTGGGAGGTCGACTGCTTCAGCCGCCCGATCGTCAGAGACGGCAAGAAGATCTGGGAGTTGATGGTCACAGGCGGCCGCGCCACCCTGAGAGCCTGGGCGAGCGATTGAAGCACGAGTCGCTCTTGCGCACGGCCTCGGACACGCGACCCCGACGCATCGGTGTCCAGCTCGAGAGCGCGCCGCGCAGCTGAAGGTGGGGCCGCGAGTTCGGGGCCCGCAGGGGTGGCAGCACTCCCGCCCAGGTTTCGACCACAGCTGGGGTCTCCTGCGGCTGCTCGGGACGATCCGGGCACCCGCGGAACGCTGTCTGTTCGAGGCGCAGCTGGGAGCCGGCTGGCGGGCCGAGGTGGCCCGACATTGGGTCCCGGCGAGCAGGAAGGGGCTTGCGAGGGTGGAGGTGCTGGGCTTGAGGATGGTTTTTGTTTTCTTTGGTCTCCAAGGGGCGATGTCGGGCCCCGACATTGTCAACAGCGGATACAGGGTGACAAAATGCACCAGATGGACCCAGGGAGGGGTCCAGGGATCGACGTTGAGCGGAAGCGCCCTTTCCTTCTTTCCTGACCGATTTTCAGATAGGGCCCGTCCAGTTTAGACCCTCCAGCCGCATCCAAGGTGCAGCTGCTGAAACGCACCCCGAGGCCAGGAAGCCGCAGAGAAGAGACGAACACGCCCCCGAACCTCGAGCCTCGAACCGTGTGGACCCTTGCTTGGGAGCGGTCGAGGAGAGTGGTGTCGCGGCTCGCCGCCTCCGTCGTCCTGGGGCTCCGGGTTGGTTCGGGTGCGTTGGAGCAGATTCATCCCCGCCCGCCGCAGCCGCCCTCCTCTTCTTATTACTGCGAAAGAGTGGTATCCAAGGGCCTCCTCCTCCTCCTCCTCCTCCTCCTTCTCCTCCTCCTCCTCCTCCTCCTCCTCCTCTTCCAACAGCGACAGAGTGGTATCCCAGGAGGAACGGGATGATGATCGAGGTTTTGGGGCGTCGTTTCCTTACAGAGGGGAGGGGAGGGGAGGGGAAGAGGACGGAAATGGGAGGGGAGGAGAGGTGAGGGGGGGATTGGGAGCCTTCGTGGGCTTCTGCGGTCTGCGTGAGGAATGTGGAGTTCGGTTGGGGCGATGTGTACGTACATTGTTTTCCAGTCGAACGGTTCAAACATGTGCCGAGCTTGTTGCAAAAAGGAGTGGATTGCAACAGTGGCATCTGGAGGTATCTTTGAACCGTTCTGGAGCTCTTGCGGGCGATCTCCCTTTGGATGCCCACTTAGGATTGCCTTGGAGTGGGTCATCTGTTGGGTCCAGGGGCCCTCCTGTTGTATATCTTTTGGCCCAGTTGTTTGGCTTGAGGGCTATTCTCAGCACCCTCGAGCGGCGGCCGTGGTGCGACTGGAGCTGCCCTTGTTGCGAAAGCGCACGCCTGGCTGTCGAGAGGTCGGAAGTGTTTTGCTTGCGAAGGTGCGATCGTTTCACGATGTCGGATCCTGAGGTTTTTAGAGCGGCAGATATACGCATGACAAAAAACACGCGTGGTATCCGTTCAACGTCCTTGGCATTTGTCTTCAGGGTGGGGTGTTGTCGTGCCTCGAAAATGCTTCAATCTCTTTCAATTAGCTTTCCCACTCCTCCGTTCCCAGATCTCTGGCGGGTTGGTCGTTGTCAGTCTGGTTTGTTGCTTATTTTGGTAAGCGAGAACCGTTTTCAAATTCGTGGATTACCAAGCAGGGGTTCTTATGAAGGATCATTCAACCATCAATCCATATGAATGTGCTGCCCTTCATGCGATTCCTTGCCAAGATTGTTTCAGCAACGAAGTCAGCCAGCCTTGACCCCCTTCGCCAGATGCCAACGGCATGTATCGCCGGGTGGCGCAGATGAAGCCAACGCGGGTGAACAGTGTGGTTGTCCAGAAGTTGATCACAATTTTCATCGAGGAGGCTAAGGCGCGGAAGATTGGAACGCAAGTGCAGGCAAAGAAGGAGGAACGAGTTGGGGAGCAGCAAGACCAGATGAATGTAGGGGTCATCGCAAGTGTTTGTAATCGGCACCGCGTAGAGATTCGTCGCGCTTCAATCCCCTTCAGCTTTCCTCGTTCTATCAAAACTTGCGCGAAACCCAAAAACCTGTGAACAAGGAAGGAGTGTATGTCATGCGGAGAAGAAGGAGGCGAGTTGTCCTTCTTTCCGGGCCCCTGTTCCGCCGATCTGTTCGCGGTTGTTCCTTCTCCCTCATGGTTTCCCGCCCGTCCCCTTCCTCTCCTTCGCCTCCCCCTCCCATTCTCCTTGTTTGCTGTCTCCCTTTTGTCCCTTTCCCGCCTGCTTCGTCTCCTGGTCCTGGCCTCCCGCATGCGCATTCCGTGTCGTGTGTTTGCTTCTTGTTCCCTTTCTGCTTCTCTGTCGCCGTGCAGCACAGGCTGACGGGATCGGGCGGCCTCGCAGCCTGCCTGCCGATTACGTCCTCGATTCATTGGCGTTTTCGGCGCCACGTTTTTTTTCACGACGCGAGGAGGTCTGCTTTCCGAGAGTTGACAATGCTTCGACCTACGTCCGCAGTTTTCTCAGGCGTACCAATGAAGGCGTGACCAGGAGAAACAAGATTTGGTGGCCTTTGGCCTATCCCGCCACCGTGCTTGGGTTGTACGTCAGATGCCTATTGGATAATTGTGGGGATCTCTTGGGAGCCCATGTGTATCGCTTCACGTTGCTTCACGTTGCGCGTGATTCTTTACGTTTTCAGCATGCACGCTGGCACACCGTCACGTTGCGTGGATGGCAGCTCTTTATTGAACCAGAGTTGCCTAGCACATTGTGTGTGTTCGAACTGTTTCGCGTGCTGAACGGATACGAATGGTCGATTGTTGTTATCGGTTGATCAGTGTCGAATTATTCCTTGAAATTCCCTTTTCGTGATACATTCATGGAGCATTAGGTTTCAAACAACGACAAGGATGCAGGGCGGCTATTTTTTTATCGTGCGTTCACGCGGATGCCGCGCACGTCTTCTTTGGCGATCCCCGCTCAAGTTCACTCCATTCCACCAGGTCAGCAGGGCGTGATCTGCGTTGCGCTCTTCGCATCCGATGGTGGTCTAGACATTCCAGCCTGGCCACTGCCTTTGACAGGCCCTCGCTGTTCCGGGTTCCACCAGCCCCAAACCTCTGGCGGGACCACAAGGGTATCGCCGCTCCAGCCCTCCCAGATGTTGCGCCTCAGTGCGCCAGTGAGACCCTCATCTTTCCAGTTGGCGTTGGCCGTAGTGTAATGGAGCAGTTGGTTTTGAGAGTAATGGGCTTCGTATGAAAGGGTTAGTTGCAGCTTCAGTGATGTGTTCTTCACTTGATGTGGTAATCCTCCATCTCATCTTCACAGTGAAATTTTCGCACCTCCACTCGTGCGTCTTCTGGCTAGAAAACTAAGGCGTCTTTGCGTTTCACTGTGAAGCGGGGTGAGTAGCCGGTAAAAAAACGGAGGGTTTAGGTGGAGAGTAGGAGAACGAGGAGCAGGTGGAGGCGGGGATACAGGAGGGAATGATGATGAGTTTAGTGGGACGAAAGAGGTGGAGTTGGAGAAGGAAGCGCTCCCTGAAGGTCAAGCCCCGGTCGATCCGCTTTTTCCGCAAAGTCATGAAGAACATGCTCACCGTGTCCCTGACGACCATGAAAGAGCAGATCCCGTGACCAGCCGTTCCGCAGTTGCAAAAAGCGAGTATGATGATTTGGCCATGTGCCTGCGTGCATCTCTGTTGCCATATGTGCATCTCGCAAACGCCACCCGTCTTCAAGCGAAACAATTCGGTTCTTCGATTGTCCGAATCGTCCGACCGCGCGAAAACAGTTCCTCCCCCTCGCCATGATCCGCATCATCATCAGTCATCATCGTCATCATCACCCCTCGTCATCCGTGTTCCTCTTAAGCTCATACCTGTGCATGTGCCGATGCCTAGGCGCTAAACTGAGCGCTGAGGTGGGGTTAGCCAAGATTGACAAAACGGAGCTGAACAAATGTCGAATGAATTCATTCACACTCAGCGAAGCCAAACTCGGCTTCGAGAAACACGCACGGTTAAATCTCTGCGAACACGAAAGCGAGAGGTATCGCCAAAGCAGCAGCGCCAGCGAGGTAGTCGACGCCTGTCTGACAAATGCCACGCCACGGTACTTCAACCAGCGATGCGGTTGGTTCATGCCTTGCGGCACGGGACCTCTCTGTTTGAGGACCTCCCTCGGGCAGCTCCCGACAGTTGCCCGATGGGGGCCCGAGGCTTCGGCGGCGATGGCGGCGGCGGCGAGGTCGGCCAGGAGCCTGGACGCCCAGACCCCCGACGTCATGACTTGTTTCACAACGTTGACCCTGAGAGGTCTCCACCCCTTTCCCTGGGACCGGCTCTTCATCCTGAGTCGTTCCTTGACGGTCCCGGGGCTGGGCAAGGGCAGCCAGAAGCCGAACGTAGCGAAAGACTTTCGGTCGTCGGGAGGGGCTAGGACAGGGACGAATCATTCGAGAGAGTTCTGGAACGCTCCCAGAGCGTTCCAGCAAGCTCTGAGAAGGCCGCCGCGCCCGATATGTCCTCCAGAATCGCCTCAGAGATCCCCGATTTCGCCTTGTCCCATGCCTGTCCTGGCCTCGTCTTGCGTCGTGATTCCTCCGCACCGGGATCGGAGGGAAATGCCAGGACTTGAGAGATCCATACCGTCGGAGGTCTGGGTATCTGCGCACGCGGGTCCTGCCGCGTCGGCGCCCCCACCTCGGCCCTCGCGGCCGCGCGAGCTCTCCGCGGCGAGGTGCCAGAGGCGCTGGCAACGCGGCGCGGCGACCTGGAGGGCGCGGAGTGGTGGGAGCGGCACGAGGGGCTCTTCGCCCAGGCCCGGCGCGAGTGGGGCGCGCTCTGCCCCGACGTGTACCACCTGGCGCCCCCAGGCACGTGGCCATTCGGAGGGCGCCGACTGCACGCCTAGGATGGGATCCGAGCGTTGCAGTCTTGGTCACGCCTGGTGTTGTCTGACCGGCAGGCCGATCAGGCTCGGAAACTGGCGTAGAAACATGGGATCTGGCAATCTGTAGGGCGTCGGTCGTGTTTGTTCGCGTTGCTGCAATTTGTTCACAACGTCGGATGTCAGGGTACACCTGCACCGATCCTGGCCTGGCCCGTCTTTGGCCCAGGATCGGTGTATGTTGTTTCCTGGCCAAGCCAGGCGGGCATATACGAGCCCAGAATGGGCGTGGCCAGGATCGATGCAGGTGTACAGTTGAGCGACGCAGAAAGACGGGTCCGATTGTGCGGGCATTCGCGCGCGAGCTGACCGCGTAAGATCGTTCGTAACTGCCTTCGTTCCCAATGTAGCTTGTCACGCTGGAGGCCTGCGTAAGCCGTGGCGCATGATAGCTATGCCATGGCGCGTAAGACCCGTTTCTTTTCGTCGTTCGGGGGTGACTTGAGATCCGACGTTGCGAACACATGCAACATCGCGAACAATCATTGCAAGAGCCCTGGACCCCATCTTTCTACACTATGTTTCGAGCCGCATCGATCGGCGATGGTCCAGGTGCCCGAGAACGGGCAAAAGCGTCCATTACAATTAAAAATTACCCTGGCGAAGGACCCAACCATATGCAATTGTGAATAACGCTTTGTGGGTGCCGCTTTCGGTGGGGCTCCCTATGGGGCCACGAAAGGCGTGCCACGAAACGCTGTCCTGGGCGTACGGGACGCATGCGGGCGGTAGCACTGGGGCCTTTGGTGGAGCTCCCTATGGAGCCACGAAACGTTGTCCTGGGCGTACGGGACGCATGCGGGCGGTAGCATTGGGGCCTTCGGTGGAGCTCCCTATGGGGCCACGAAACGCTGCCCTGGGCCCTCGGCGACGAAACGTGTGAGGGGTGTGCCGAAATGGGTGCGGTGTCGCCATGCGAACGCAGCCACTGGGGCTCTCGGTGGAGCTCCCTATGGGGCCACGAAACGTGTGAGGGGTGTGCCGAAATGGGCGCGGTGCCGCCATGCCAACGCAGCCACTGGGGCCCTCGGTGGAGCTCCCTACGGGGCCACGAAGCGTGTGAGGGGTGTGCCGAAATGGGTGCGGTGCCGCCATGCCAACGCAGCCACTGGGGCCCTCGGTGGAGCTCCCTATGGGGGCCACGAAACGTGTGAGGGGTGTGCCGAAATGGGTGCGGTGCCGCCAGCCCGAAATGGGCGCGGTGCCGCCATGCCAACGCAGCCACTGGGGCCCTCGGTGGAGCTCCCTATGGGGCCACGAAACGTGTGAGGGGTGTGCCGAAATGGGTGCGGTGCCGCCATGCCAACGCAGCCACTGGGGCCCTCGGTGGAGCTCCCTATGGGGCCACGAAACGTGTGAGGGGTGTGCCGAAATGGGTGCGGTGCCGCCATGCCAACGCAGCCACTGGGGCCCTCGGTGGAGCTCTCCTATGGGGCCACGAAACGTGTGAGGGGTGTGCCGAAATGGGTGCGGTGCCGCCATGCCAACGCAGCCACTGGGGCCCTCGGTGGAGCTCCCTATGGGGCCACGAAGCGTGTGAGGGGTGTGCCGAAATGGGTGTGCCAACGCAGCCATGGGGCCCTCGGTGGAGCTCCCTATGGGGCCACGAAACGTGGTGTGCCGAAATGGGTGCGGGCCACTGGGGCACTCGGTGGAGCTCCCTACGGGGCCACGAAGCGTGTGAGGGGTGTGCTGTGATAGTGGGAGGAGGGAGGGGGCAGAGGGAGGAAGGAAGGAAGGAAGGAGTGAACGCGGGGCACTGTCTCTTCAAAACGAGGACCCAACACCACAGGATGGTTGGGAAAAAACATATGCCACGCCAGTGTCGGTGTACTATCTAATCGAATGGCCTTCGGCCAATCCCGCCACTGTACATTGGTTGTGGGTATGAAGCATGTTAGTTGGTCGTTGGGATCTCGTGGGAGGCCTCTTGGGGGCATCTTGGAGGCAGTTTGGAGGCCTCTTGGCGGCCGTTGGGGGGCCTCTTTTGAGCTTCTTCGGGGCCTCTTGGGGGCCCCTTGGGGCCTCATTGGCGCCTTGGGGCATCATGGGAGCCTCGTGGGGCGGAAGGCTCGAATTTTCAGTTCGTGTTCCCTCTCTTGGGCCCCTCTTGGGGCAGTCTGTAGGCCCTCTGGGGGTGTCTTGGGCGCATACGGGTGCGTCTTGGGGCGCTCTAAGCCGTCTTGGGGGCCTTCAGGGCCATCTGGGTTCGTCGGAAAGCCCGAAAGGCAAGAGAGCTAAAAGCCCTGAAACATTTCATGAAAACGAATGATGTTGGCCTCTTGGGGCCCTCTTCGGAGGCCTCTTGGAGACTTTCTGGGGCGTCTTGGAAGCCTCTTGGGCAATCTGGGGGCTTTCGGCGACTCGGGGCCCTCTTAGACCGTCTTGGGGGGCCTCTTGGGGCCCTCTTGACCCGCCTCGGGGCCCTCTGGGTCCCGAACATGTCATGCGAGAGCAATTCCTGGAGCCCAGGGGGCACTCGACAAGCCCCAGGGCATTTCGGAAATTTGAGTCCGGGCCCCTAAGTGACTCCTCCGAACTGAGTGAGGACTGAAGCTCAGAGGATTGGGCAAAGGACCTGAGGACACACCCACTCCGTGCCCAGCGGCACGGTGGCGGATTTTGAATCGAAGGATATTCGCGCGAGTCTTGTGCGGGGGACAGGGAACATGGTGAGCCTTGTGCGGGACTCTTGTCAGTGCCCTTGGGGTTGGATCTGCGCGTGCGTGCTTGTACGGGAGAAGGAGCGGTCGCAGAAGAAGCACGGCAGATCCGAAAGAGCGTGTTCTACCGCTGCTGGCGGAAAACCGGGGGGGGGGTCACTTCGACCGGTTCGAACCCCTCCCCCCCCCCCTCCGGAAAACCGGGGGGGGTCACTACCGGTTCGAACCCCTCCCCCCCCCCATCATGAAAAGGGGGGGGGGTCACTACCGGTTCGAACCCCCCCCCCCCTCGAAAACCGAGGGGGGGTGCGGACAGTGGTGGGGACGGTGGTGGTGGGGACAGTGGTGAGGGGACAGCGGGACAGTGGTGGGGACAGTGGGACAGTGGTGGGGACGGTAGTGGTGGGGACAATGGTGAGGACAATGGTGGGAACAGTGGGGACAGTGGGACAGTGGTGGGGACGGTGGTGGTGGGGACAGTGGTGTGGGGACAGTGGGAACGTGGTGGAAACAGTAGGACAGTGGAGGGTACAGTGGTGGTGGGGACAGTGGTGAAGGCGGTGGCGAGGACGGCGGTGGGACAATGGGACAGAGGTACAGTGGGGACAGTGGTAGGGACAGGGGGGACAGTGGTGGGAACAGTGGGACAGCTCAGTGGTTCGAACCGGTAGTGACCCCCCCCTCCGGTTTTCGAGGGGGGGGGGGTTCGAACCGGTAGTGACCCCCCCCGGTTTTCGAGTTCGAGGGGGGGGGGGGGGGTTAGGGGGGGGGGGGTTTTGCCGGGGGAAGGGGGGGGGGGGGAGGGGTTCCAGCAGGGGGGGGGGGGGATTTTCGGAGGGGGGGGGGGACCCCCGGGTTCCGGAGGAAAAGGGCGGCAATTTTCCAGAAGTAAAGCGGCGGTGGATCACGCTCTCTCGCAGATCCGGACCCCTTGCACAAGACCCCTCGTGCGCCTTGTGCGCCGGCACTCCCCCTATGAAAGTTTAGTGGGTGTTCAGTCGGCGACCTCCGGGCCATCCCGCACACTCTCCGCCTCTCGCTGGCTGCGCCCCGCCGCCCGCGACGCGCTGCTGGACGGCTCGCCGCCCGCGCTCCGCGCGCTGCTGCGGGCGGTGTGTGCCGACAGCGCCGGGGTGGCGGTGTACCAGCTGGACCTCTTCTCGAAGGGGGGAGGGCTGCACACACGCGAACGTTCGGAGGTCGGCACAATCGAAACGGGCAGGACAAGACTTCGGAGCCTCGAGGGTTCGTTTTTCGGGAAGTCGAACCCGAGTTTCCCCGGACCCGAGTTACCCCGGATAACTCCGGCGCCCAACGACTGTGGATGGAGACCGACAGCAGTTCTTGCCCCTTTTTGAGCAGGAATCGTTGGCGTCGCCGCGGTGTACTTGCTGGGCCTCATCTCGACGGGGGGGACAGCTCCGCACAAGCACAGGCTTTCGAAGGTCGGCCTGGTCGGCACGGGCACTCGAAGAACCAACAAAAATAGGCATTAGCAGAAATCCAGTTGCCTACAGCAAGTTCCACCATTGGGCCTGGGTTGTGGGTATGCAGCCTATTGGCTGTCCGTTGGGATATCGTGGGAGGCCTCCCGAGGGCCTCTTAGAGACAGTTTGGAGGCCTCTTGGTGGTTGTTTGGGAGCCTCTTGAAGCGTCTGTTGGGCCTCCTAGGGCCTCCCGGGGGCCTCTTCGGGCGGAAGGCTCGAATTTTCAGTTCGTGTTCCCTCTCTTGGGCCCTCCGTGGGGCTTTCCTCAGGCCCTCTGGGGACGTCTTGGGCGCCTCTGGCGGCGTCTCGGGGCGCTCTTAGGCCGTCTTGGGCCCCTCTTGGAGGCCTCTTGGGCCGTTTTGGGTCGATATTTGGAGCTTCTTTGGTCGCCTTGGATCGTCGCAAAGCCGAAAAAGCGAGAGCGCAAGAATCTTTCAACCACCGAAGGACAATCAATGATTCCTGCCTCGTGGGGCCCATTTGGGAGGCCTCTTTGAGCGTCTGTGCGGCTTTTTCGGCCATCTTGGGCGTCTTCGAGCGATCGTTCGGCGACTCGGGGCCCTCTTGGACCGTCTTGGGGGCCTCCCGGGCCGCCCAGGGACCCCCCAGGAGCAGGGGTGGTGCAGTCTCCCGGGCGTGACCGGGAAAATGCGGGGCTGACGAACACATGGTATAAGTACGTTTGGGCGATGCCGATGAATTCGCGCTGGACCCCCTGGCGGTGCCTCCGTCGCCACGCCTGGCGTGCCCCGCGCGCCATGGAGGGGGTCTGGTCCAGCGCCGATCCCAGAAGACCGCGTGGACATCTGAACGTTGATGTATGTGCAGCTGTTTCTACTTCGACCTTCACCGAGGAGTTCTGCGACGCGCTGCTCGCCGAGATCGACCACCTGGAGGCCAGCGGCATCCCCCTGCGGCGCCCCAACGGCATGAACCGCTACGGGGCCATCCTGTCTCAGCTGGGGTTCCAGGAGGGCCTGCTCGACCCGGTCATGCGCATGTCGGAGGAGGGCCAGTCGAGACGACGGCGGCCCTCTCCATAACGCTCTTCGTGGTTTGTTGGTCTTCCTGGAAGTGTATCGCCGCCACCGCTGTGGATGCGCCTTCAGAGATGGGTCATGATGGAACCCCGGAGGGGTCTGGACACCGATGTTGACCGGATTTGTTCCGGGCAGGAGAGCCGCCGTTGTGTCGCCTGGCCCTCCTCCGAGCATGGTGGTGGCCCCCTTGGCCGCGGAGCTGTGGCCAGAGTGGGCGGGCGAGGGGGACTGCGAGGAGACGTACGGCTTCGTGGTGCGCTACCGGCTGGGGGAAGACGTCGACCTCGCAGAACATTCGGACACCGCCAACGTCACGCTGAACCTGTGCCTCGGGCGGGCGTTCGAGGGCGGCGACCTGTACTTCAAGGGCTGCCGCTTCACGCCCTCCGACGCCGACGCGGAGGAGCGGCCAGTGCCCCACCAGAGGGGCGCTGCGTTGCTGCACCTCTGGAGGAAGAAAAAACTGCGTGACCATAATTCGTCGGAGCTCCGCGCGGGTTGCTGGACCTGCGCTGGGCTCCCCTGGCTCCTTCCCCATCCACCCCCCTCCTCCCCCTCCCCCTCCCCATCCTCCTCCCCCTTCTCTTCTTTCTCCTCCAGTGCCGACCCAAGATCAAGAAAGCCGCGCGGAGCTCCGAAACTTTATGCCTGGCAGATTTTTGCTCCTCCGACCTCGGCGGCCATATCCACGGCGTGCGCCCGCTGACCGCGGGGGAGCGCTCGAACCTGATCCTCTGGGGCACCGGCGCGGGCGGCGTGGTGCGCATCCGGCCGTCCACGCCCCCCGCTGGGGGGTCGCGGCGGCGCGGCTGGCTCGGATGAGGCCGGGGCGCCCACGAGGCCTCCGGGCTTCCGCCAGGCGCCTTTCTCGCTGCCGGAGGCCTCGCGCCGCGTCGGCAAGCCGCGGTGAGGTCGCGCGGGCGCGAGCGAGCCAGGCCGAAGGCCTACTGTGGCAGGCTTGGGCTTGGGAGCCTCTGGCGGTGGGGATCGTTCAGGATGAGATGGTTCGCACTGTGACTCAGAGGCGGGCGAGCTGAGACACCGGTAGTTGGCCTTCGGAGGGGGGCACTTCGTCGCCACGGCTGGACATAGCTCGGAACATTGACCGATTTCGAGCTGCCGTCGTCTCCATTCGCCCTGTTCCGAGTGACAGGAACCAGAGCCGAAGCCGTCGTGCCAGAAGCGTGCCGAATGCTCCAAGCACGTGCTGAGCAATGACGCGTGAGCTGGGGCGAAGGGAAAAAGTTGACGCCAAGGTTCAACGTGAGATTTCACATCGAGCAGACGCCGATGACGTAAGGATGCTCCAGAGGAGGACAGTTCAGATAGGCTGAGCTGATGCGAACCGGCTTAATGTCAGTGGGACAAGTCTGCGCTAAGCCAAGTTCAGCTAGGATAGCTCCAGACAAGCCCAGAGAGCCGCGCCATGACCCCGCACCCTGGCAGGCAACCATCCCCCCGGGAGCCAAAGAAGTTTGTTACCTCGAGGCCAAGAACTCAAGCAGTTCGGGTGAGTTTCGACTCTTCACGCCAACTTCGTGGGACACAATTCTGAAAGTTTAGTAGAAGGCCAAAGAGGCAGCACCAGAGTCGCAGCCTGGTGCCTCGCGGCTTCGTTGCCCCGTCGTTTCCACTTCGGGCATCGCTGTAGGCGTAAGCTAATGCTCACACTGCACATTCGTCCAGGAAAGGCGACCAGCTAAGTATGGAGCCGATGCTGAGGCTAAGAGGTGGCAGATGGTGGCATCTACGAGCAGAGCGTTGATGGCGAATGCCCTGGCGGACAATAGAGCTGATCATGTAACGCTAGCATGTGGCCAAGTTGTTCAAGTTGGCAGCGGAACCTCAACTTGCCAGGATTCAGTTAGGCAGCAAGCAAACACGAGCCGAGGCACCTCAGACGATATTGTGCAAGCTCAGATAGGACAAAGATAAGACTGACGTTGCGTGTCACTGTTCTTAGATTTGAGGCGGCATAACGCAGCACAGCTCGAGTTCGCAATACTGTGTTTGGACATCCAGGGGCCGACGTCCCTTTCAGTATCACAATCGGTTGGAGTTGCAGTCGATTGAATTGCATTACTGCGTATTGTCGTTTGAAGTCTTCAGTTGTTCTGTGCGATGCCACCTGGCGTGGCGCCGACGTTTCCTCACGTTGCATTCCCTATGATCGTCCTCGTTGCTTCGACCTGCCTTCATCAAGGTGCCAAACGAACAATTGGCGCTGGGACTAGTTTCGCCAGCAGCCTCTTCATCGAAGGAGCGACAACTGCACGAGCCTGAACTGTGGAAGGTCCGCGCGGATTCCTTGGATCCGCGCTGGCCCCCTCTCCTTGGCGCGCGAAGCGCGCCAGGGGCGGCGCCACGGGCGCCACTGGGAGGGGGCCTGCGCAGATCCACGAAGTCCGTGCGGAGCTTCGACAGCTCATGCTTTGGCAGTGCGCTCCGTCTCCATGGCATCGCTCGGACGTGTGCATTTTTCATCGGCGAGTGCCATCGAGGAGCATCCTGTGTCAGTTTGCGAAGAAATACACCCGAGTTCGAACAGTGCACGGGGAATGGAAGTCCGAGCCATGGCAAGCCTCTGGATTGACTCTGCAGTTCGCTTTGGCCGCAGCCTGCAGCGACAGGCCCGCGCGTCGCCCCCCCCGTCTGGCGGAGACGGACCCTTGCGCCTGACGGTCGCGTCGTGTCGACAGGCATGAGGCGGTCGTCTGATGTGCGTCCGCTTGACACTCTGTCCTCTTCCTCCTCATCATCATCCTGTTTGTTCGCTTCGTTTACTTTGCAATTCTTGGGAGGTTCAATTCAGCATCGGCGTTGCTGGCATATCTGCTGTGATCTGAAACAGGCCTAACATGGAACGTTCTTTTACTTCCTTGCGATCCCGCTTAATCGGACTTAATCCCGGGCTCAACCCGACCTAATCAGGTGTAATGGCCGCATAGTTTGGTTTGGTAGCCTTCCGTTATTGATCAGTATTACGAAGACCTCCCAGGAGTTGTCTCCGAATCTTCCTCCTCTCCTCCTCTCCCTCGCCCCCTCTCGATTGCGTGCCACAGTAAGGAGGCGGGCGAGAGAGGGAGTAGAGGCGACGTCGCTACCTGCGGGCGGCCACCTCTGGAGCGAGGCGGCCCACGGTGCCCTTCCCGAGCTGCAGACTGAAGGGGCCTCGCGCGGGGCGCCAGAGAACAGGGGGGACCACACCACCAGAAGCGGCAAGGCTTCGGGTTGCGCACAGACGCACAGACAGCCCCCCGGTTGGGAGGTCTCAACGCCTTGAGGCGTTCCTCGCACCCAGGGTTGGGGTGTTGAGACCGCCCGAGACTATTCGGGGGGCCCGTTGAGCCCGAAGCCTTACCAACCAGGAGGACCCTCCTGCCCTAGCTCCTCGATTGGTGGTCCCGGGTTCGTGGCGACGGGGGTGGTTTAGTGGAGGCTTGGTCCTGGCTCGATTCTTGGAAGCGGGGGGCGATCTTAGCATTTGGGGTATCATATTGCTTCCTCCTCCCTCCTCGCCCCTCCTCCTCCTCCTTCTCGCATCCCTCGCACCCCCTGGGCCGCGTGCCGCAGAAAGCAGGAGGTGGGGCCAGGGCGGGAGCTGGGGCCTCTTGGTGGGAGCCCCCGCCGCCACTGCAAGACTCGCCGGGAGATCCGCCTCGCAGAGCGAACGGTCCATCAGTCAAGGAAGAGACAACTGCATAAACTGCCACCGCTTGCAGACACTCATCAGACTCGCGGCGTGGGCTCTGCTACGGCTCGTCGATGGATACGGGGATAGCCCCCTCGATCGATGGGCAGCGGACTGTGCGGCGTCCGCTCCCATCGTCTCCCTTCCCGAAGAACAAGAAACTCATCCGACTCGCTGGCACCCTGGCGGCGCCTCTAGAGCCGCCCCTGGCGCTCCCTCCGGTCCGAGGGCCTTGTGCGGAGCTCCGAAAGTTTATGCGTATGCCGCTGCTCCTCCCCTGCCCGAGCTCCGGCGAGGCTGGGCCCGAGAGGCGGCCCTGCGGGGAGGGCCGCCCCCGCCCCCGCCTGGACACCCCCAGTGGCTCACCGAAATCTCTCCTCACCCCTGCAGCCGCCTTCTCAGAAGCCTTCCCCCCTCTGCGCGCCGCCAAGTCAGGGGAGGTTGAAGAGGGTCCTGGGTGATTCTTGGACGTTCCAGCGGTTGCGCCTCGTTGGTGGCTGCCCCCGGGTGCCAGGATCGGCCCGGACGGCCGCCTGAGGCCTGAGCTAGGACCCGAGAACTAACTACCAGCCGTCGAGGGCGGGGGTGAGGGCTCGGGGCGGGATATCGTGTCCAGGGCAATGAAATCCGCCGGACATCATGGTTTTCTGTTATTTCTTCTATCACCGTATCCACTGGCCTCGCCTCGTCCGCGAGCATGCCTTGGGCCATGATGGGCACGCCCCTCTTCCCACCCCTCCTCTTCGGGCCCAACGAATGGTTTTAAGGGGACAAGCGCCCCGACTCCTATGAATGACGTTTACTAGACGGTCCTGGGCGTTTACTAACGGTCCTCGCGTTTACGAAACGGTCCTGGGATTTGCCAAACTCACTATCCGCCAAGGCACCCCCAGCCAACCCGCAGGCCCCACGTTGCACTTCATTCCCATTGGGCGGACATTCCGGACATTGAAGCACAATGGAACACGTGCCTCTCCCAACGCGAATTTGAGACTTCGGACTGGGTTGGGGTCGTCTGGCAGGTAGTCGTAAACGGTTGATTCATGCCGTGGGCGCGTCTGTTAAAGGGCTTCGTTTGTAGGAAAGGGTGCTTATCATGAGGGTGTTTTTTTGCCCCGTATCTGGAGCCCGCGGGTTGAACAAATCATTTCGCCAGAAATTTAGGACTGATTGTGGCTGCGTTCGGGATTCTGAAGCCGGATCGATCTGGCAGGACCCCGAGCCCAGCGAGGAAATTAACATGTCTTGTTTGTTCACGATCCCAGAACTGCGGGTTCCTTCTTTATGCTTGTGGAGACGGAGGTACCTATCCGAAATGAAGGTCCTGCCCAGCCGGAACTGCCACATGATGCGGCTGTGGCTCGACTACCGCGAGCGCGAGGCAGCGGTGGCAATTGCCGACAGCGGGGGGGAGCCAGCATAGCAGGATCAGGGGGGACGGAGGAGGGCGGGGATCAGGGGCAGCGACGGGGGACCTGCCCAGGGGGGAATGGAGGAGGCGGAAGGTGGAGGAGTTGGAGAAAGTTGCGAGGGAGATTGAGATCGGAGGACGAGAAGGAGGAGGAGGAGGAGGAGGAGGAGGAAGAGGAGCCAGTGGATCAGAAGAGGGCAAGTTAACACAACATAGACAGATGGAGGAGGAGGAGGAGGAGGAGGAGAAAGAGAAAGAGAAGAAGGAGGAGGAGGAGGAAAAAGAGAAAAAGGAGGAGGAGGAAAAAGAGGAGGAGGAGCGTCTTGTCCCCGCGACGCTTCAACCTCTCACAGTCCAGTGGCACACGGTTGAAACCAGCACCGTGATGAGCGAACTTGTCGATGTCCAAGGTCACCAAAGTCGCTGTTTTGCTCCAGATCAAGAGTACAAGTACGGTGGCTGCGACGCACGCCGTGCGAGGCGTCTCACGGGCAAAAATTCTCACGGTTCGGGTGCACGCTGCGTTGATGCTTCCCTTCACCATGCCTGCTTCGCAGACTTGGCGTGCCACCCGCAGGCGCGCCAGTGCTAGGAGACTGCTTTCTTGCGTTTTTTGTATTCCAAAAAAATGCAGAAGGACACCACGACCGACGGGCGAGAGGAGTTCATCCACGGACTCCCGGGATTATTGGCCAGTCAGCCGGTGCCCGAGCACCATCTGTTCAGCCCCAGATGTGGGCTCCAGGGATTCCAGCAGGGTTGGCGCTTGCACCGACAGCGGCGACGCGAGGATCAGCAGTGTACAGGGCTAGTTCGGCCGCTTCGGGGGCAGGCCCGCAACCGCGAAGCAAATCCCTGAGGAACGGGCACGGTCATGGCACGGTATCCCCAGGAAGGTCGGACTAAACATGGATTCCCGATCTCCGTGCATGCCAAGAATGTCGCGCGAATCGGCGGTGGTAGCCTCGGCAGCATCGGCGAGAGAGACTTCGTTGATGCACAGTGCAGACGCTGAAACGAGGACCATTGGGGCTCAGGAAGGGCTCGGGCTTTCGGACAGTTCCTTCGACTTCTGTCGAAGAACCTGTTCGTGGCCCAGGCCCGTCGTGGCCAGAAAAGCCCC